GAAATCATGTACATTCCTCCTTCAACCACTCCTTTCTGTGATGTCAATCTCATCATGACTTGACCGTTCTGTACAAAGGATGTTCTTCTCATCTTACCCGCATAATGCTTCTTGCCACTGAGCAGCCACCAGTCCAAAGCTGGTTGTCTCACTACGCCTTCGACCAGCCACCTGTCAGCTCAACGCCCAGTTTTTCTACGTATCCCTCAATTGGCTCAGATTCAGACCCAGTCGCCCGCAGGCGGCCCGGACCGGGCTCAAGGAGGCTGGGGATTCCGCAAAGAGACCTCCCCCACACGCACCTGCAGCCACACTGCCAAGATAGTTTTCTCTTCTCTCCGGCCTTCCGAAACTTGGTCTTCACCACATGCTACTCACCCGACCAACCGAAGCTTGATGCTCCCCAGACCGAGATTGGACAGGACCTCGTGAAAGCTTCTCCCCTTTACCCTTTTCCAGACACATATCGTTTGCAGGGGGGCAAGACAAAGAATCAAGATCAAATTAGGCACCAAAACAGAATGAACAGATTGTTTTACAGGACGTAATATTGGTGATCTTCTGCTTATCAATCTCTGTATCTTAGATTTCCCACAACGTGTCGCAGGTGCATTTGTAAATGATCAACGTTATGGTAGCTACACTCCAAAATCAACAGCTGATATAGGTACACAAACAACACTCAACGGGTCCCATTAATTTACATCCTCCTCTATCAGTATGGTCCCTCAGATCCCTATCGCTTGATGTTATCACTGTCCAGCCTCAAAATGGTCGCCAAGATCTATCATTATCTCGAATATCACTTGAAAAGCGCCCCGCCAAGCCCTTTACCCTGTTTGATGACGCTATTATTCACTCTCAAACGTTATCCGTAGTGTTTTAGTAGAGATTTGCCATGAATAATGCTTCATGTGATCAATTTGAGGCCGTCAACCTGTCGCAACATCTTGGATTTGTTCATCTGGATATCAGTTGAGGATCGAGACGAAGATTCCCAAACGCCCGCTTGCAGGAAATCCCCCACGAAATAAGAGACAATCAGTTGCTCTTGGTTGGTTGTTGGTTCAGCATGTCTAATCCTCCGGCAAATCCTGCCGGTTAAGCGGATGTTGAAATCTGCTCATACCCGAATGCATCATGCATGTAACAGGCAAGTCGACTAATAAGGCCGTTATAACAAGGGTTTGGTCTGAGTAGCAGTGACCTATATCTGCACTGTTCCACTGATCGCCGAGGTTCTACATCTCAATGAGAGTTATTCGACAAAGGGAGCGTAGGCGCCCAAGCCGATCCGCATGTCTATCATGTGAATCCCAACATCCAATGTCCACTTCGATGCATTTTCGCATCTAATAACCGTCCATATTGTCCCTCCAGCGGGCCAATCGTCACGAAACCGTTGTCAGCACAAACATTCCCCCACAGCTGCTTCTGCCACTCAATTAAATGCAAGGCCTGCAACACGAGTCATGCAACCTGACAGGCCTCTATTTTTGCGAACATAGGCAGCTTGGGGACGAAAACGCCTGGAGATGGGGCTCATAGGGACTGTAGCTGCTGTCTTTGACTCCCATTCTCTCCATTCTCAGTGTAGATCCCCCCCGGAATCACCGTCGTATCGCATGATGCAGCCTGGCGAATGGAACGGCTCTGCATTGAGGACCGTTGGTTGTGCCCCGGCCTTGCAGCATTGCAGCTGAATATTCACAGGCAAGAGGCCATTGTGTAGGTAGTAATGATAACTGTCGAGAGCTGACCACCCATCACAATATCTTGCATCCTGTCCATTCATGCAAGTGACATATCTTAGGCAGCCTCGTGCACTGTAACCCTCACCAATCCCTACCTTCCCATCATGGATGTTGTAAATCTCGAGGTGCTTGAAGACTCAGAGCCAGATGTTATGACATGTCAAGGGCGGCTACACAGGGCCAGCCGCACCCGTATTCAAGAGTTCCCTAGCAAGACATACCCTTGGCAGATCTCGATTGGGATATATTGCATAATTGCGCCATTTCGGGTTCACCGGCGTTGCATTGCATCTGCGACATGCTTTCCCCTTTAAAAAGTACTTGGGCAGGCATCACCAATCTTGCCTATCAAGACTTCCAGCTATCTATTTGGTTAGCCTAGTAGATTAGTGATAGTAAGGTAACGAGTGAACAACGCAACACATAGGATCAAGTCATGTGCAACGACAGTGAATCAGCTCATGTAGGTGGACAGGGGTCAATAATGTCTTACCTGACACATGTCTGCGTTACAAGTGACATCACCCAGCCAGCCCTCTATCAACAGGTCTCCCACAAGTCATCAACATAGCTGGCCATGCAGACTAGGCGTTGGTGGATGCTTCATGTGCGCGCGCGTTGAACTGCGGACCGCCCATTTCTGGCCATGTCGTATCTCTCCATCAGTGCGACGTCAACCGCTTGGCTTGATACTTCCAGTCTGCTCTTCGGTTTATATCTTATAAAACGGTGCGGTCAATTGCAGCTTCCGACTGGTCTGCGCTCTCGCTCAGAAACTTCGAGTGCTATGCTCGATTGACAAACTTCAGCATGACAATCACACACGCATCGCTCCTCCTTAGTATCGCTGGCTCTTCGGTGGTGCGTTTTGATTCCTTCGCTCGTTTTTCATTGTATATCTGACTGTAGTTATGTCTTAGATGGTGTTCTGGTTCTTGGCTCTGGTCATCTATCGACTCTTCTTCCACCCGTTGGCCAAATACCCGGGCCCAAAGCTGGCAGCATGCACTGAGGTACGTCTCACCAAGCAGCAGATTCACTGACAGTACTGGCCCTAACACTGATGACCCAGCTCTGGTTTGTCCGTTCATGGACTGGAGGTTATCATCCATTCGTAATGAGAGAACTTCGCGAAAAGTACGGCGACGTCGTAAGAGTCGCGCCAAACGAGCTTAGCTTTAGGTCCTTAGCAGCACACAGGGACATCTACAGTCAAGCCCCCAAGGGAAAGGCTCCATTCCTGAAGAGCAAGGTCTTTTATAATGTAGGTCCTTCCATCAGCCACCCCGACATTGTCTTCACAAGAGACCCCGAGGACCATCGCGTACAGCGGAAAGCTCTCTCCCATGCCTTCAACTCCAAAGGTCTACGGGATGCCGAGGACACGATTCAAGAGCACACGAGGCTTTTTGTAGAGCAGGTTGGCAAGAATTCTGGCCCTAGAACCAAGGGCATCAACGTCACGTCGGTTTATAACTGGCTCACGTTCGACATTATCGGTGAGTCGCAAAGTGAGAGCTTGAATATTGTGCACTCGACTCATATTTGCAGGTGTTCTGACCTTTGGAGAATCCTTCGAATCCGTGTCCAGCTGGCAGTCCAGCGTGTGGGTTGACCTCCTCTTGAACATGGCAAAGCACATGACGTTTCTCCCTGCGGCAGAGAGGCTCTCCCTTCCAGCCTTTGCTCTCGGCGCCGTCATGCCCAGCGACGTCAGCAAGAATGCCGCCTACCACGACAAACTCACCGAGGAAAAGATAAGCAGACGGATTGGGCTGATCAAATCCAACGACCGAGAGGATTTCTTTGCATTTATCCTCCGCAAGGGCAACTTTGATCCAGTTCACCTTCGGGAGCAGGCCAAGCTCTTGATGCTGGCTGGCTCAGAGACAACAGCAACATTTCTGGCCATGGTAACCTACCTCTTGCTCAAGAGCCCTGTGTCAATGCAAAAGCTCCAGCATGAGGTACGATCGGCCTTCTCGTCTACAGGTGAGATCACTGGAGACTCTACCAACAACCTAAGCTATCTGCAAGCCGTTATCGAGGAAGGTCTTCGAATGCTCCCACCGTCTCCAATTGGCCTACCTCGAGTCTGCCCAGGAGCAACGATAGATGGACATTTTGTGCCAGCAGGCACTGACGTGTCCGTTGACGCGTACGTTCTGGGACACGACGATCGCTACTTTCCGGAACCAGATGAGTTCCGACCTGAGCGCTGGATTGGCGACACTGTCAACGAAAAGGACGCGAGCCGCCCATTTTCTTTTGGGCCCCGTGCCTGTTTGGGCATCAACCTTGCATATCTCGAGGCAAGGATTGTTCTTGCCCATATGGTCTACGCGTATGATTGGAAATTGGTCAACAAGGACCTAGAGTGGTTCAAGGAGGTGAAGCTGTGGACTCTCTGGGAGAAGCCTGAGCTGTACGTTCGGTTCCATCCTAGGGATGTCTGAGTAAGAGAAATTACCAGTGAACACGGAGGGAGGAGCGGTTTTTGACGCGTCAAACGAGTGTGTAAAGGGACCGTTTTGTCTGCGGCATTTTCTGTGTGGCCGCGTGTGTGGGGGGGGTGGTCACCTGACACACCAAACCGCGATGGCACAAGTGAGATACCCTACACCTGGTGTGTTTTTTGCTGTCGCTGAGTATTTGAAGCTTGAAATGTGAATTTTGGTTCAATGTCCCTCACTATACTGGTAGCTGTCATAAACAGTGATTATAAGTCATCGTTTGTGAGAGATTATATACGTGTGGGTGGTCCACTGTGATTGTTCCACTGCAACCCTGTGAGCTTAGCCCAACACACTAATAATAAGGCAAACAATTCATGCATGTCTACACTATGAACGAACTTTTCAGGCATAGCAATAAAACTCTCCGTGGACTATTTTAACCTGTAACACAACTCTTGGTGCCCTCCATACTCATCTGAACAGCTTTTTCCTGTTGTAAGAGCGAGTTTCCTACTTGATCCAATGTCCGGATCGGGATATACCGCACGTGACCTCCTTCTCCTCATACGCGGTCGGCCAGATGATACAATCCGCGCTGTGTGATACGGCAACAGGTCCATGTCACCATGCTTCCAATAAGGCTTTTTTCGAGAACATGCGGAACCTGAATCATTTTGTGACTCCGTTGACCCTCCAAAGATTTTGTCTCTAAACCGTTCCCGCTTGGCCATCCCAAGACACTCGACATGATGCTTCCTACCACTCTCGGAAAACAACCAATCAGAAGCCAGCCTCTATGGCTCAGTGGTAGAGCGTGTCACTAGTAATGACAAGGTCCCAGGTTCGATCCCTGGTGGAGGCAGTCAAGTAGTCCCCGAATGGGACATTCGCTTTTTGCTTCGTGTCCACATTGTTCCCTGCACGAACGATATGGGCTCATTTGGAAAGCAGTGGGGCCATACAATCGGCCTATCTTTTTTTATCAACTCTTTGGCGTTTCTCCTTCGCGTTAACAACTCCTGGATCGTCCTGTTGTTCTCAGTTAGGAGTCAGGCACGCTACTAACAAGCTTTCGTATTGCTGGGCAAGGAGATTCAGGCAAATAAGAACATGATATATGCGGCAACTTCCACTTTCCTCATAGGATTTGTGTTACAAAAGCCAATTTGCTTGGTGATTCGTCAGGTTGCTCCAGCTCCACCGTATCACCAACATCCAAAGCTAAACTGAACCACATTCTTCGAATTTGACAATGAAGTTTGGACTACGCAAGCAACAGTAACTACATAGTCAATGGGTGTTTTCTTATCACGCCTTTGCCGCTTGGCTTAACCAAAGGCCAATAGAATGCGGCGCTAGCTCCGTGCCGCCAAAAGCAAATATATGTCTGAGAGCCACCTGGGCGGACAAGGCGATAACAGAAACTTCAATTGGACAAGGGCTGTTAATTGGAATTCTCGTGTTTTGATGGACTACGCCGTGTCGCTCTTGAGTGTGTTTATGGGGCTTCTAAGGTTGATGTGCGCAAGCCGCAACTTCAAATGCCTGGGCGTGTACGTGCACCTACGTGGTCAGGCCACTCGATAACATAATAATCTTCCCTCTCAAAGCTGAAATCCTTGATGAAACCGAAATTACGGAAAATAAAGAAACTCAATAGCGAACTGGCCAAGCACACACGTGGCTTGGGAGACAAGGCTGGAATGTGCACACCCAAAACAGTCAAGACACCAAGACTAGGCCGTGGCGCACTCACCACCAACAGACAACTAGTGATGCATGATGACTAAAAACAGCCAGGGGTTGGTTATTCCCCTCAATCCCTAACCCCGCTTTCCGTTCTGTCGGATCTTGCATTCTGCAACCCTCTTCCCGTTTGATACAGACTTGAACATGTCTAGCCCTCCTCAAGGGGTGACGACCCCTCCCGAGGGGTCGAGAAGCACTGCTTCACGGGTCAAGTCGCCTTCGAAATCGCCGTCGGCTTCTCCGCCGCGGCAGAATGAGCTGATTCCCGCTGATGATGTGGATGTGAGCCATCTCCTGATTTTTGGTATGGAGTGCGACTTACGGTTTGCAGGATGATCCCAATGGAGATCTCGATTCAACCCTAGGCTCTGATGCGTAAGAAAAGTATAAATCGATGCATGTGATTGGTACTGATCAGTTTTGTAGAGAGAGTTCAACCGCCTCTGTTTCTGCTAGTCTCCTCGAGTACCGCCAAAGTCAAGGACGCACATATCACAGTGACAAGTTTGCATCGAGTTACTTCTTCCCAAATGATGATCAACAGCTTGAATCTATGGACATGACGTGCGGCTTCAAATGGATCGATCTCGTGGAAGCGAGACTAACATGAGATACAGTCACCACTATTTGACGATGCTCCTGAATGATGACCTATTCCTTGCACCCCTAAAGGCGGATAAACTTCAGGTACTATTTCTCTCATGAAGCTCTCATTGGCCAAACAGTATTTAAGCTGACTATCAATGATTTGATAGAACGTCCTTGATGTTGGTACAGGAACTGGTGAGTTACTAAACGATCCTCACATGAATCTGCTAACGATTACCTCTAGGTATCTGGGCGATGTGAGACAGCCAAGAAAGGCTATAAGGCCATCTACTGACAGACTCTAGCGAATTCGCTGATCGCTTCCCTAACGCCGAAGTCACCGGCACCGACCTCTCACCTTGTCAACCGACCTGGGTTCCTCCCAACGTTCGCTTCGAAATTGACGATGCCACGCAACCCTGGACCTGGAACGAGAACCACTTTGACTTTATTCATCTTCGATACCTGTTCGGCGCCATAAAAGACTGGAGTTCTTTGTTCAAAGAGGCATATCGCTGCGCTACCCCTGGAGGGTGGGTGCAAACCGTCGAGGCCGATATCGAATTCCGTAGTGACGACGACACGATCAAGCTGGAACCTGCTTTTGACACCTATCACAAACTTTTTAGAGAGGGTGGTAAAGCTTTGGGGAGCTCTTTCTTTGTGCATGAAGAGCAGACGAAGGCGTTTCAAGAGGCTGGGTTCGAAGACGTCAAGATTGTTGATATCAAGGTTGGTTTCTCTTAGATTTGGTGGAACTGACTGACATGAACCTTTTTAGTTCCCTTGTGGAGGATGGCCAAAGGATCCAAAGCTTGCCGAGGTTGGACGATTTGTCCAGCTCACATTTGAGAATGACGTTGACGGTACGAACTCTCTCCTGCTTGAGTTGAACAGACTTCTTACAGATGATAGGATACACTACAATGATGTGGCACGATGTTCTCAAGTGGCCTAAGGATGAGTATCAGTTGTTCCTCATGGGACTGCGTAAGGCGGTGCGCAACCCCAAGGTTCACAGTTATCTAATTGCGCGTTACATTTATGGACGCAAACCCGAGAACAGACCGGCTGTATGAGAATATAAGCCACAAGCAACACGTTTGACACGGTTTTGTATTGTTCTTCTTAATCTTGCTGTTGATGCTGTACGGCCTGCCCTGTTTTTGCGATTTGAATTGAGACTTTGGTTTCATTGGAAGCGAGAAGTCACCCAGAACACGGAGTTATTATTACTTAGATTTGGTGTCGATATTATCTTGTAGTATGGAATAATTGCACATAATCGCAACCGTTGCTGTTAGAAATGTGTTATGTAGTGTCAAGCAACACCTGCGGGTGAGGTTGCAGGGCCGTCTGCAACAATTCCATCAGTGTCCGAGGGACCAACCTGGGACGACGGGGGCCAAAGCCGATATGAAGAGAACAAAGGCGGCCCTAATTCGAGTGCATGGATGGCGATCCTATGGCATTAGACGCGGGTACCGGCCCGCCTCTGGTCTCATCATCCGGGGTAATGCAGGTCTATCGGATATACGGCTTGGGAGTTAGACTTGCCGTCGTTATGCATTAGCGATGGCGGGGTAAACTAGCTGGAATGAGCAATGATAGTCTTGGATCCGATCCGACGAGGCATCCGATTCAAGTGCCGATGTGGTATTCGGATGGATGGGCCCGACGGTGTATAGCTTGTACCACGTCGGAAGCTATCCGATGATTGTCCCCTCGGTCTTCTAGGGCCCTCACTATGTGGTCAAGACGAAGGGCGTTTGTTGATACACTAACTTGAACGATGTTCGAATGGCAGTTTTGGGATATATCAAACATCTAATGAGAGAACGGAAGCATCCTAAACACAGCAGTGTCCTCTGGAAACGGCTCAGACGGTATGTCAATCAGTTCCGGTTGCAAGAAATGCGCCAGCTCGCCTTCTCCAGGGTCGACCTGTGCCGCTGACCACCCATCTCCAAGCCAAGCCAACCTGTTACCCTCCTTTCCTTCAGTATCCTCACTGTACACGTAGTCAAAGTCCTCCCATCGGGGCGATCGTAGAGTCTCCATAGCATGCAATGCACTTCCCGGCCATACACCCGTGATACGGTCACCTCTACCGCCCTTGTTCTTGTACCAGCTGCTACAATTATCGAGATACACTGTTCCTTTGAAGTAATTGTCGATGATTCGCGAAAAGTCTCTGACTCGTGCCGCTTTTGGCTCCATGCTTGAGATGCCTTCCTTTTGAAGTTTTCGGATACACTTGACGATGTAATCCCCAGTCCTTTCGATCATGGTTGTCAGAGGACCGGTGCCGATTGCTGCATTGGGGCCCAGCATCATGAAGTAGTTTGGGAAACCATTCGTGGCGAGGGATAGATACGTCTCTGCGTAGGGCTCGAATCGTTGTTGCATTGTCTGCCCATTTTTTCCAATAACTGGGAATGGTGGAGGCGCAGAGGTTTGAAACCCAGTGGCACAGACCAAGATGTCCAACTTTTTCTCCTCCGAGTTTTGCAAAACTAAGCCTGTATCCGTGGCTCTGACGATGGGAGTGTTGATGAATTCAACATTGTCTTCGGTAAGGGCCTCGAGATATCCCAGACCAGGCGTAAGTCGTCGACAAGTCACCCCAAAGTCCGGCAACAGTGACTCAAAGATGTGCGGTTTACTCTCCAGTTTCTTCCGCATGAGTCCTATCAAATCCTCTCGTGCAAGCTTCTGCAGCTGAGAGTCCTTGATGGTAAGAGAGTGAGCCGAGTTGCCATCTCTTTCAATGGCAGTTCGAAAGTGGAGGTAATACTCGGGGTCCGTTGCAAATTTCTTTCTCTGCTCAGGGGAGACTGTAAAGTGTCAGCATATTATTCGCTCGAGATTTGCGATATGCGGTGACTTGCAGAATTCATCTTCTATTCCAAGACTTTTCATCACAGACTCGCCGATGGGCTTGGCAATCCATGCCTTGCTTCGAACAAAGCAGCTGAGTTTGGCCCCAGGTAGTTTTTGCAAGTTGGGAATGATCTGAATCGCACTGCTTCCACCTCCGATAATGCCAATTCTCTTATTCTCAAAGCTGATGCTGGAAAGAGGGGGTCAGTATACTGTATGTCAAGAGTGTTTGTCCCGAGATACCTCTCATCCCAGGCTGCAGAGTGCATAACCGGGATCTTCATATCTTGAAGGCCTGGGATGTCAGGCCAGGACCTCTCATTCAGAGTGCCCCGAGCACTAATAACGACATCTGCTCTATCCTCCCAAGTCTCCCCAGTCTTCAGGTTCTTGATAGTGACATGCCTAACGTTGCGTTAGCCATAACGACACAAGAGTAGCTGGGCTGCCCATCATACCATTGGGACGCTTTCTCATCCCATGTTGTGTCAAGCACCTTGTGCGAGGTTTTGATGAAGCGGTCTACCGAGTATCGTGTCGCGACGGACTCGAGATATCGTAGGATCTCTGGTCCTGGAGCGTGAGACTGGCTCCAATTAGGATTGGGTGCAAATGTGTACTGATATGAGTGCGCTACAACTA